GCTTCTAATTGACTGTTGAGAGTCTCTAGGGAAAGAGTGCTATTGTCTTTTCGGAAAGAGTGGGTTATGATCTCATCAACATGGCCGTTCTGGTCGAAATCTTCATTTACAGTGCTCACCAACTGTACTTGTATAGCAGCTACAGAGAGCAACTTTTCTTTGATCTCGTCCTTAGCCTTTCCATTTAACGTGATTGATTGGGTTTCCGGGTACCATCTTATATCGATATCTTCAGCTTTATACTGTTTCGCGTCCCCACCAGGGCAAGACCATACGCCATTCGATAAGTTCAGTACTTCTTCGACAAATGTCTGTAATAATTGATAAGATTCGGTCCATATCAGTTTTCCTTTATTATTTATTGATATACCGTGCAGGACGCTACCACCTTTGCCTTGATCAGAACTCATTTCACTAATTTTGAACAAATTATTTCACAATTTCGCAGAGCGATTTTAGGCACGTCTTGTCACGCTGGTCGTGTAGATTGGTCTGCTAAGGAATTATGTTTCGTTAATTAAAATTTGAAATATTATTTAATAAGTTATATCACATGTAATAGCTTGTGTTATTTGTTACTGAACACTTGTTGAAAGAAAATATCAGGGCAAAACTTTCACTCGAGCGATCAGAAAATATTTGCAAAATTTAAAGCGCGGACGTATTTAAAATAGTGTTTTCTCCTCGTTGAGATAGGTTGAGATAAATTTGAACACGCCAAACTATACCGGGTGTCCCAAAAAAAAGTACTCCGGTTTGATTCGTAATAACTTCTAAACAAGTAAAGCTTTTAAAGAGAAATAACTTGCATCAAATAGAGGAAGGGCTAACTTAGATTTTGATATATTACAGTTGTATTTCACTTAAAAATTCACGGAGATATTAATGTTTAAATTCGGGAGCATATTTCTGGATGTGTCTGAAATATGCAAAAAACGGCGTATCAAATATTAATCAAGATTTGCCCGACTAAAACATGCACTATTACCAGTAAATAAATGACACTTGACAAATTGTTTATTATGAAACAAAGTATTATTATCTACAAAATACAAGCAAGATTTATTCGTCCGAAATCCGTGTGTGTTCCTAGCACGAATATGTTTCCTTATTTCATGAGACCACTGCATCGCGAAGGATCGTCATGGCCGGATTGTTCGTAGTTCTGAATTAGGGCATGCTGTCACAATGGAATTGTGAAGCTCTTCTAACTTCTGCAACGTTTTGAAATCTTGTTAAGAACACTCAAACTCTTTTGCCTTTTTTTAATCTTGGCAAGTTCAGAATAAACTGAGAATGAAACACAATCAAACCATACAACTCCATAAGAAATAACAAGCAACTCCCCAGAGACATCCAACATTTTTGGAACAAAACGTAACAAAATAGTAGCGTTGATACTGTGATGTGTATTTGCAAAAAGCAATATTATTCCCTTCATTAAAGAATAGTATTCATCCTGCTCTAACCGAGAAATAATCAACTCTGTTTTGAACCCATGAAAAACATAAAAAAAATAGTAAGGCTATTTAAGAAAAATTTAAGCGCCTGCCTTGCATGGTCTTTCATGTACCTTTAAGTTTGTAAAAACCTATTAAATACTTGCATAATTTCGAACGTTCATATTTCTGGAAACAATGAGCTAAGACTTACTTACATGTAACATGTCTAAATCTACGCCATATCCCTTGCAAATCCTAACGACAATTCGCTGAAAAACAAGTTAGCCTGATATGTCATTAAGCAAACAAACGCTGCAGTTAATATTTGATATGCCGATTTTGGCATGTGCTAAAACCTGGACGATGGCTCAGTGTTTTCACTCCCAAAAAAATAATTTCCTTCTCCATAACCCGAAATTTCCTTTTTTTCCACAAAATTTCCTTCCAAAAATCTCTAAATATCCTTCCATTTTTCCTTCAAAATTTTTATCAAAATTGACAGATTTACCTGGTAATTAACATCGAAACTCTGGTATTGAAACACATTATATTAATTTATAGCAGATAAAATCAGCTCATCCGCTTCGCCCAGGGGGACAAAAAAGCATAATAACTTGCTGTGGGTGCTAAAAGAGATTCCATAACTGGTTTCTTGCATCTCTCCCCTCTGGACACACACACAGGAAACCCCTATGACCTAGGGTTTTTCCTACCCACGCTAAGTAGCCCCCAAGTAGAATCTGAGAAATAATACCCTGGGTATTCTGGGTACGAGGTTTGGTTGATATTTCAATATAGCGATTCTGGGGTTCTGTCCTAGATACATAGTTGCCAACTTTGGAAAAAAACCATCCGTGAGATCTCGCTTTGGGGGGCCCACGGGCGCCACCATGGTTGGCGCCGAGCGGAAAATTTTGTAAATATGGAGTCTCTAGATCGTTGGAAATGGCATTTTCGGCAGAGTCTTCTTTTGCACAAAATTGTATGAAAATTGCCTTATTCTTAGAAATTATGAGATAAAATGGAATTTCCTTCTCATTTCCATCCTTATAACAATATTTCCTCCCAATTTCCTTCCAAATGCTATTTCCTTCCAAATTTCCTTCCAAAGGCCGAAATTTCCTTCTTGAAGGAAATTTCCTTCCAAGTGGAAACGCTGGATGGACTGGACGATGGACGCTGGACGATTTTTATTTAGCTACAGCCGTTTCAACAAATTCAGTCTCCAAATTCAGGGGTATGACTAAAGGGAGAGTTACCAACCGGAGAGTTATCTCGGAGAGTTATGATTTCGGAGAGTTATGTTCAAAACACGCCCACTTTCCCCAATGACCACACCCAATTTCTTAACTCTCCCGACGTTTCCTTGAACTAACATAAGAGAGTTATGCTTGACGTAACTCTCTCTCGTTAACATTATGAAGATGTTAGAGAGTTATCATTTTTTTATAACTCTCCACGTTCACGATTATGGCAATGAATAGAGTTAAGTCAGTTTTTTGAGAAAACCTTAGTAAAGCTTGTTTCTTCAGATTTTCATCTTATATTTTGGTATTTCAGTTTGTAGCGTGTCAATAGCGTGCGTCCAAACAGGAAATACAACTTGACTCGGTCAAAACAATGTGATGCTTGCATCAGAAGGGTCAAAGACCCCATGCTTTGATGTGTATTTGGCAGTAAATCAACCTCGTTCCCAGGGCTTTTCCCTTTTTGTCATTGGGAAGGCGGGAAAAGGCCCTGGCACCGGCCGGTCTTCTATGTATTCTGATTGGTCAATGACAAGTACATTATTATGCAAATAATGCAGTCTTGGATTAATTTATCCAAACTTTGGTACGGTGGCCCAGACGCGACAGCACAAAAACAGTTTTTTGTATTTTTTGTATTTTTTGATTTTTGTATTTTTTGATTTTTTGATTTTTTGTATTTTTTGATTTTTTGTATTTTTTGATTTTTTGATTTTTGTATTTTTTGATTTTTGTATTTTTTGATTTTTTGTATTTTTTGATTTTTGTATTTTTTGATTTTTTGATTTTTTGATTTTTGTATTTTTTGATTTTTTGATTTTTGTATTTTTTGATTTTTTGATTTTTGTATTTTTTGATTTTTTGTATTTTTTGATTTTTTGATTTTTGTATTTTTTGATTTTTTGATTTTTTGATTTTTGTATTTTTGTATTTTTGTATTTTTTGATTTTTGTATTTTTTGATTTTTTGATTTTTTGATTTTTGTATTTTTTGATTTTTTG